TTTTGAAGTTGAAACAATCCGCCATAGTTCTCCAGGCAACATTGAGAGGCTGGCGCGTCAGGAGGGATGTTAGCTTACAAAATCATGCTGCTGTTGTAATCCAGTCATGCTGGAGATGTTTGGTGGAACGGCGTGTCTTCCAAAGAAAGAAAGCTGCAGCTGTGAAGCTCCAGCAGAGGATTCGAGCAGTGCAGCTCGGCAGGCAGGAGAGAAGCAAATACATCCAATTGAGGCAAGCTGCCATCACACTTCAGAAACACTGGCAAGCCTGGATTGCAAGACAGCAGGTAAAGTTCATTTGCAGTACAAAGATAAACATCAGAGTACCGTAACTAAGAGGAACTGCAGCTTGTTTGGAGTCTCACAGTGTTGAAATGTGATTTGTAGTAAGCAGTCTCAACGTGTTGATTATGGAGGAAAAAAAAGTTGCTGGTTAAATGTAAGCCAATGTTTTTCAGGTTGTAAAGGCCGCTCGTGTAGAGAGGAGGCTACGTTTTACGTCGGCCATATTTCACCATCTCAGTGCCATAAAGATCCAACGAGCACTCAGAGCTCACTGGGCTTTGGAGTCTGCTAAAAGACAGATCCATTCTGTTATCACCATACAGGTAGTCACAAAACATCCACACTGCTACATCTATTGAAGAGTACAACAGTTTTTACAAATGACATCTTGATTTTTTTTTTTTTTTGTTTTGTTAAAGCGGCTGGTGAGAGCGAGGCAACAGAGAAGACGCTATCTGGAGTACAAGCAGAAGGTGGCTACAGCTCAGAGAGCAGTCAGGCACTGGCTAGCTCGTCGCCACAAGGCTGCGACTGTCATCCAGCAGGCTGTCCAGAAATTCCTCCTCCTCAGGCGGCAGAAGAGGGTTCAGCAGGGTATTCTCAAGGCCCAGGTACAGTAGTCAGTGCTGAGTGTGGTAAAGATGTTGCCTGTAATTCTAAAGGGGAGAGTCGCAGATTTCCAATTCAGTCTATATTTAGGTGTCCAAAGTTCATTCAACCTTCAGTCACCTCAGTTAGAACAGCCCATTAAAGATCTGCTAAATCTTTTCTTTCTACAATCATCAGTCCATGATATTACAACTGGGAAACAATTTCAGGAGGAGGACAGTTTTTAACATCTGACTGTTGTGAACATGGCCTAATTTTAAAAAGGAAATATAGGTAACACTTTATATGACAACCCATTGCTAAGCAAAGAAAGGGAAGCACAGAACTCCCCTCTCCCCAACCACCTCTTCCAGCTAATCTGAGAAACACCGAGATGTTCTCAGGCCAGGCAAGAGATATAAACTCTACAATATCTTCTGCGTCTGCCACGGGGCCTCGTCCTGGTGGGACAGACCTAGAACATCTTATCCAGGAGGCATTCTTATCTGATGCACAAACCACTGAAAATAAATCTGACTAATTGCCGGTAATGTGGACCAAGCTCTCGCAACGGTTGTATAAGGGCCGAATGGCTCATATTAATAGGCAACACACCCCATACTCCCAAAGCATCTTCCACAGAGTACTCCAAGAGATGCGGTCGAACGTCTTCCCCAAGTTTACAAAACACATGTAGACTGGTTGGGCAAATTCCCATGCAGCGTCAAATATACTTAATCGACTGGCATCGACTTTCCTTAGGATGCTGAGGAGTGTGGTTCGCCTATCGTTAGAGAACACCCTCTAGTCTCCCTTCTTAATGATGGGAACAACCACTATGTTCCAGAGGTACCGCTCCTAATCTCCACACGACATTGTAGAGGATTTTAAACCAAGACAACCCTACAAGATCCAGAGCCTTCAGGAACTTCAGTTTTTAAACGGCCTCATTGGCCTCACCCACGGTGATTGGATGAATCATCCACCTCATCCCCAGGCTTTGTTTCCTCTACAGAAGATGTGTCGGTGGGGTTACAGAGGTCTTCAATGTTCCCTCAGGGTACACACCAGCTGCTTCCGACGTCCCACAGGCTTCGGTGGAACGGAAACCTTACCTTCACCAGGTTGCGCCCAGTCAGGCCTCATGGGCTGATGGCTACCTTTACCTCCGGTGAACACAATGTGGTTCAGGGGTTTCCACCACGACATCAACCACCTAACAGCCGCAGCTCAGTGCAGCAGCCTCTGCAATGAAGGTGTTGAACGTGGTCCATTTGGACACAATGTCCACAATCCTGTCCAGTGCTGTCAAAGGTCTGCCAGAGTGCTTCTGCTAGGCGTTCCCAGTACACACCGTCATGTTGTTGCTCACATGAATGTTGAAGTCTTCCAGTAGGACAAGAGAGTCTCGATATGGAGCATCCTCAAGCACCCCACTGAGGGACTGCGCACATAAGTGCAGACAACAGTTAGGATCTGTTTCCTGACCCGAAGGAATCAAACCCTCTTGTCTACCGGGAAAAAACTCCAATATACAGGCAGCCAGCCAAGGACATGCCAAGATACCGCTTGTCACCAAAAGCAACTTCTAACTGAGACAGAGTCCAGCCCCTGTCCAGGAGGCTGGTTCCAGAGGTCAAGCTGTGTGAGGTGAGCCTGGTTATATCTCTTTGGTACCTTTCAACCTCACACACTAGCTCAGGCTCCTCCTCCACCAGAAAGTTGACATTTCACCAGCCTCAGTAGCCTAGCATCGGTCCACCAGGGTCTCCCTTGACTGGCACCCTACCCCTATAGCACCCAACCCCTCCTGTGGATGGTGGTCCTACAGGAGGAAATGCTCATTTGCCTTCTCCAGGTTGCGTCCGGTCAGGCCTCCAGGCCACCAGGGGCTCTCCTTCAGGTACCCTCCCCAGGCCTGGCTCCAGGGCGCAGAGCTCCACTAACCCTATCCCAGGCAGGGCGAACTGTTCCCTTGATTTTGTACACATAACGGTCTTCTGAACAGCTCTTTGTTTGGTTCCTCACCCCGGACCAATTTACCATGGGAGATCCTACCAGGGGCAAAGGCCTTTCGAGTGCATAGCCCCTGGGATTCTTGGGACACACAAACCCCTCGACCATAATAATATAGCAAATTACAGAGGAGAATTTATGTAATGCATAAGTAACGTTAATAATTTTATAACTTAAGGTATTTTATAGGAAAAAAGACACAATTTATACTTTTAAGTACTGCCCAATTTCACGGAAATTTTATGGACAAGCAATTTCCCAATTTTACATCATAAATAAACAGTACTGTTCTATGTACAGGTCATAGTATGGAGTAGATTAATTATGCCTTTGTATATCATCATCATCATTATTATTATTATTATTATTTTTTTTTTTTTTTTTACACATCTTTTCTTAATATTCATCATGTTTATGAGTATGACAGATCTTTTAAAAATAAAATTGATTTTCTCCCAACCCCTTAGTTTTTGTAGGTAAATATAATGACATTGTTATTAAAAGAAAAATAAATTGAAATTTAATTTAATGATGGAAGAATCACTCCCTTAGTTGCAGGCTGTGTTTTAAAGTGTTACCAAAATTAAAAGCAACAACTTGTTATCCAGTCTTTACTTTATCCTCATCATTTTGATATTTGTGGACAATGTAGTCAGCAAAATGTTGTTACAACCTACAAAGCAAGGCACTAACAGCCTTGCTGGGATCATTTCTTTAATTTTGCTGTTAATATTTAATACTTCTAATAACAGTTTACACTAGCAAAATGTTTGCTATGAATTGATGGAAATCAAATAATTTTATACACATTTTGCCCTGAAAATTGTTAACTTATTTAGTTTTCCAACAGTTTAAAACTAATGTGAGTTTTCGTTTTGTTTGTTTTAAATTTATTTTAATTTTAACCACTTTCTCCTTCTAGGCTCTGTGGAGAGGACACTGCTCCCGCAGATTGAATGACAATCCCAAAATTGTAAAGCTGAGGCACCGCTTACGTGTGGTCACTGCCAGTGTCCGAGAGGAAGACAAACTGTGCAACAAAACTTCATCTGCACTGGACTACCTTCTTCGTTATAAACACTTCTCGTACATTCTGGAGGCCTTGAAAAATCTTGGTAAGGCTTTTTGTTGTCTACTCGTTTCCCCTCATGCTGAGTACAAAAATGGAAAAATAGTTTTAAACAGCATTTTCCCTGCAAGTCATCCCACAGCTTTAGATGTGGCAACTTATGTAACACTAAACAGCTTAATGACAATATCTTTGGCTCGCCCCACCACAGCACTGAACAAACGCCATGCAAGTTATAGTTTACTCAGCTTACGATCAGACATTATTTTCAACTGAGTGAATGAGCACACGTGAGCCGTGACAAATTAATACAGCTGTATTTCACATATCATTATGAGAGGCAGACGATGCATGTAGTTCCTACCAAACATTTAGATGGTCCCAGTAATATAGTTACTTTTCACTGTGAAGTAACAGTGATTTGTGGAAGTGTTCCTGGGCCCAGGCAATGATTTCATGACACAGCCATGCCTGGTTTTAAAGCAGTGTTGCCTGAGGGCCCAAAGATGGCAGATATTCAGTACTGATTTGTACTTGTGCTTCTTGCATGCTGATATTTCTCCTCATTCTAATAATCTTTAGATGAGATATTCAGTGCAATTTAACATTGAGGACCATTATAAATGAGTGAATGGACAACTCGAGAATGAGTATTTAAATTGATACCATAGACGTATCTACTAGATATTCTTCTGAGAAACTGTGCCTCTTTAAAACGCTTCAGCATTTCTGGAGCATTTCTTTGTGTTTCTTGTCTTTCTAATGTGTGATGTGTAGAATCAAAACCCACTTCTGGTCTTTAATTATGGTGAGTAATATTTTAGGGACTATTTCTGCAATCACTCCCAAATCTATTAAATATATTATAGTTTAAAATGTGTAAATGTATATGTGCCTAACTGGCCAAAATGCATACTTCTTATTCATGTAAGAGTGCATCTTATGATTTGTCCTGACTGAAATCTCTTTGTGCGTGCCTCTGTGTTTGCATGTTGCATTCGTGTGCAGAAACCGCCACCAGGCTGTCCCCAGAGTGCTGCGAGCGGCTGGTGGAGAGCGGAGCCACTAACGTCATCTTCACACTAATCCGCTGCTGTAACAGGAGCGTCCCCTGCATGGACGTCATCACCTTCTCCATTCAGATACTTCTCAACCTTTCCAAGGTACTGCAGACACAGAAGAGCACTTTGTATTTAATGCTCCCTCATGTAGTAATCCGGTACTCTCAGGTTATAAACATAAAAGGTAAACCGGTTAATTAGTTTAGTGTGACATTAAAGCTGAAAGTAGACAGTTGTTTATTCTTTGTTTTTGTTTTTCTTTTCCTACAGGCCCAACATTAGATTAAGCTGTTTTAACTGTCTGAAGACACATGAAATGGAGGAGATATGTTTTAGCTTATATTTTGCTATCTCCACCTCCTCCACTCCTCAGTTCCAGCATATTTAACAATGTCAATGTCAGATTTCACCTAAGACTAAGGGTAGGACAGCAACTTCCTTGTGACTAGAAAAAATGATAGTTTCCCATTGGTTGCATTGAATTTCCTCACATTTGGCAAAAGTTAGCAAGTATTTCCACCTAGGTGTGTCACGATACTGGACATTAGTAGTCGGTACAAACAGCAGTAGAACTGAACAATTCTCACAGCCCAATTCGATACCAAAACAGAAATGATCTGAAGTGACATCTCGCATACTCAACCATAAACTGCCTCATTAAAGTCATTTTTAAAACACTGGCAGATCATTTATTTAAAATGTTAACATTATAAAGCCTACTAATGTTATATTACACTAGAATAAGCATTTAATGTTAGCCATTGCAAACATTTTAGCCAGTGGAACAAAGCTGATTTCACAGCTTTGTTGGTAATTTACATTTTGGCATAATAAAAGCAGGATAATGGTTTGGATGTTTGTAATGTTAATTGAAAAGCATTCACGCTGATCTATTCAAACTGATCTGGGAGCTATTCTTGTAGTTCACTTAGGCCATACAATTTCAGTACAGTACAGTAACATAGCTTGCTTGCATACTGCTTTTTGGGATATCAGTCCTTACTCACATTTTCAGAATTTTGGTAGGAAATGATACAACACATATTGGTTCTGGTGACATCCCTAGTTACAGCAACCAACCTATCACACACTTACACAATGGTTTTGGGCCAGCCATTGTTTTCCTTAGTGTGACTGTAATATAAGGTGGTAACAAATACTTATTTATGTACAGATATAGTAAATGCAGAGTACTTTTATACAGTATTCTCATGGCTAGACATTTTGTGTCATCAAAAGTTGGTGCTGCATCACTATCCAGTATTTCTTAAATTCAGCAGTATTTTTGGTTGCATTACTTTAAACAATAACTTGCAAGAACACAGAGAAGATGCATTTAAAGAGCTCTATCACTTAACTCTGGTTGTCTGAAAATATCAGAACTAAAGTGTTATCAAGCTTTCCTGTTTTCTCTAAAAGCATTTCCCATTTCCTGTATATAGATCTGACCCTCCGTCAGACTGTTTGCTGTTATCGATTTCTCTCTTCTCGCTGTGAACTTTGTTCTTCTTGCAACATAATCTGCCTGACTGTGACGGGAACATGTTGGCGTGGTAGACTCAGACATCTTACTTATTTGTTTTGAATCTTCTGGCTGGAAACGGATTGTTTAGACACGTGGGGGTTGAATAAACCTGTAATCTGCATACTGTCGATGGTAAATGACCGTCAGCACACCCGTGCTTTTGAGAAGCTTACACTGCTGTGGATGAGGGCAGCAGCAAAACATTTGTATGGGAATGTAAAGCTTTTGTATCCAAATATGTTCCCCCACAAAAGCCACCAGACTCATTTGACAAAAACGGTTAATTTGTACCGTTCTAAAACATCAAACAATAGGACAAACTAATCCCTGCTTAGTTTTGAGAAATTACACCTGCCATCGTTCTGTGCAGTGTTTAATGAAATGAGATTACCAGCATGGAAGCTGTCTCATGATTGTGGCTTTAACAGCTTTGCTTAAGGCCTTACATGTCATCTACAATCTATAAGAAACTGCTTTCTGTAAAGCTAATTTAACTGCAAAGTGACCATTTATGTGGATATGTAGCAGATAAAACATGTATTATGTTCACTTTTTTGTGTGAAGCATTAAATATGAAGAACAAAGTGCACGGGGGTGGTGTTCAGTTTTGAGTGTTTCTGTCTTTTTCAGCCAAAATAGAACATGCAACAGTGGATGCGTCAGTGTTGTTTAAGTGTGCAGGACTAACATCGTCTCCCCTCCCTCCTCAGTACCACAAGACCATTGAGGCGGTGTATTCAGTGGAAAACTCTGTGGAGACGCTGCTGGACCTGCTGCAGAGATACCGGGAGAAGGCAGGGGATAAAGTGGCAGAAAAGGGTGGAAGCATCTTCACTAAGGCCTGTTTCCTTCTTGCGCTCCTGCTGCAGGACAAGCAACGCACTGAGGTCCGTAGACACTGTCACAAACAGATAACACGAGTGCATAAATACCAATATCAACGATATTTTTACACAAGAGAAAATGCTAACTATTTTGCTTACTGTATTTTCTTTAGGAGGTCAAAAAGCTACCCAAGGTCTTGGATAGGATCCACAGTATTTACCGCCTCACTGCTCGCAAACACAAGATGGACACAGAAAGAACAATCATCAAGCAGAAGATGAGCGCGTCAATCAACGGGAGCTTCTTCGTTCCAGTGACGCCTCGTAAATCCCGCGCTGCACCAAAGTATGGATATTCCTGAGTTACATAATACGCTGAAAGTGTGCTTGTATGTTTCCAGAGATAACTAAAAGTTTTTTGTTTTCTTTCAGGTTTGCACCAGATTGGGTTCTCAGACGAGATAAGCTCAAAGACATTGTAGACCCCCTCAGGGCCATTCAGATGGTGGCGAACACACTGTCCATTGTGCTGTAAATAAACATGCTCATGTATATATATATTTTTAATCCATGATCTTCTTTTTAAAAACTTAAGAAAAGTATTGCTGTCTTATTTTTATTTTTTGTAAACCAATTCATTTTTATGTATATAATAAAATGGATTTGTCTATTAAATTGTTTCTTCTGGATCTACTACAGTGGGGAGAGGCATGCAAGGTTAACCTGTAACAGCACATGTCAGGATCGCCATTACTCCCAAAACGGCAATTTTTACTAAAATCCCTTTTGATGTAATACCGGCCTGTGCAAACAAGAAGACAGTATGAACAGATGGGCGCAGGAGTGTGTCATTGGCTGCTGACTTGTGATTAACAAGTCCTGTGATAATCCTCCACTCACACTTAGAATGACTGAAATTTACAAAATGGACTAGAGTAGGGGTTACTGGTTAAGGTGTGACAGTGGGTAAAAATGAGCCACACCCTGTTAGCTAATCATAAGCAACAGTCATTATGTGACAATAACCACTGAAGAGTTGAAAGAGCAGTAAGCAAACCAGACCAGTGAAAATTATTTTTGTCATGTTCATATAAGTTCATTTAAGGCAGCGGTCCCCAACCTTTTTTGCGCCACGGACCGGTTTATGTCCGACAAAATTTAACGGACTGGCCTTTAAGGTGTCGCGGATAAATACAACAACAACAAAAAAACTAGTATTGGTACCAAAAAAAAGATTTATTCATAACACACGTGAAAAGACCCAGGAAAACCGAGTTAGCGATAAAAACCATAACAAAATAACACTAAAAACCAATAAAAATCCTGAAAACTAAACGGTTCACACCCGAGCCTCAACTCTCGTGGCCCGGAACCAAACGACTCACGGACCGGCCTGGAGGTTGGGGACCGCTGATTTAAGGAACCTTCATAGTTAACAGGAACAAATCAGTGGCATTAGTCATATTTCCCATACTTTAATAAATGCATGACATCTTGCGTTACTTAAGAGTGCTTGTGGATTAGATTTATACATTTTAATTTTGGTCAGTATACTTTCAAAATATGGGAAACATGTCTGTATGAACATATGAGTTTTACTTCTAGTGTGAAGTAGAAGAAAGCAGAAAATGGACCAAATCAGACAATCTGTGATTTATTATTCCACATCTGAAAACAGAAGATCAGAAATCATTTCAACTTTTCACTCTCGGCATGTGGGTAGGACTAACACACCACTATTACATCTCT